GGGGCTAGCGATCGGGGGATCAACGGGAGGAGGGCCAGGGGGACTAGCGGGGCTAGGGGTGGTAGGGGGACTAGGAGTGGGAGGGTTAGCAGTAGGAGCTGTAGTAGGTGGGGGAGGAACAGGGTCTGGTGTTGGTGGAGCAGGAGGAGGGGGAGGGGGAGGGGGAGGGGGAGGGAGCGGCGGAACCGGCTCAAGCGGAGGAGGATCGAGCTCTGGGGAAGAGGAGAGACGAGCTGCTCCCTACCCTTGGGCCAGCCGACGACCTGCCCGCGTTCTGACGATGGAGTGGCTCCATAGCCGTGGGATTGATAAGATCTACGGCGATGTCAGGTGCAAGAAATGCGGCGCGCAAAGTAGACTTCAGCTGAATTTAGACGAAGGGTATCAAAATGTGAGAGAGGCGTTGATGCAGAGGGACTGGGAGGGGAGAGCTCCTCGGTTTCTTCTCAAGCCTAAGCTCCTCGACTGCCCGGTGTGTGGGAGAAGAGAGTCGGCCGCTCCAGACAGATACGACGACCCGTTCAACAACAACTGGCTATTTTTAGTACTCAGCCAGACTCTAGGCATATGCACACTGCAAGAGCTGAGGTATTTCTGTCAGAAGAACAATCTGCACTCCTCTGGCAGCAAAGCTGTGGTCTTGGACAAGACTTATGAAGCTGTGCTTTATCAGTTGGAAACCGGGGATAAGGAATAGAGTGGGGAAGGGAGGAGGAGGTGGTTGTGGTAGTAGTTCAGGAGACAGAAGGAAGTCAGACACTAGCTGGGGAGTTTTAGGTGAGTGAGAGAGTGTGTACTTTGGTGGCCTTGGATACCGAGAGAGACGACAGGACGCGGAGTGTAGATATGGTTCCCGACTCATAAACGAGGTGGGGTGGGAGTCTGGGAGAGAGGAGGAGGAGGTCGTAGTCGTTGAAGCGGGAGAAGGAACAATTCCGACAGTAGGAGAGCAGTTTTAGACGTGACTCACGTGAGTCAGCGAGCGTGTACTTCGCTGGCTGTGGAAATCGCACGAGATGAAAGGACCTGAGAGTGTAGATATCGTTAGGATTGGTTCCCAAGTCATAAACAAGGAAGCCCGTTCTCAATTTGGCTGTCTGTGTAGAGTAGCTCAAACCCTCACTTTGTGTGTGTGTGTGTGTGTGTGTGGGTGGGTGGGTGGGTTTTGTTAATATGGTTAAGGAAGAGCGATGGTGCGTTGTAGGGGAGGGAGGTTCATGGAGTGTTCAGAGTCTCAGACTGACGTTTCGAAGCTATAGCCAGGTGTGGTTAGCTTTGTGCTATAGCTGGTTATCGGCTATAGGCTAGAGGCTAGAGGGTATAGCCAGTATAGGGTATAGAAACAAGGAGAGGTATGGACTATAGAGACCGTAGGGAGAAGGGGGCCTATAGCAGCGCGGTTCGTCTTTTTGCTGTCGCTGCTCACAGCTTGGCAATAGGCACTATAGCCAGGAGCTATGGTGGTGCATAGAACCATGCTATAGACAGGGGTCTAGCCAAGTGCTATAAATAGCTCTACTGCTATGCTGGGCATTGATAGGCCCTGCGTTCCTCGGCCTTAAACGACGCGCCAAAGGTCAATCTCACCGCAGGAAGATGACCAAGAACAACAAGAAAGAGGAGGACGAAGAGAAGTAGGAGGAGGAGGAGGAGAAGGAGGAGGAGGAAGAGGAGGAGGAAGAGAAGGAGATGGAAACGGAAGTGGAAAACTCTGTGCTGTACTCGTAGAAGCAGGAAATGCCGGTGTAGCAAAATTGTTGGCGCGCGTGCCTTGTGTGGCTATATATAGGCATCATAGCTGATCTCTCTCTCTCTCTCTCTCTCTCTCTCTCTCTCCTGTCTCTTATACACATCTAGATGTGTATAAGAGACAGCTCTCTCTCTCTCTCTCTCTCTCTCTCTCTCTCTCTCTCTCTCTCTCGCTCGCTCTCTCTCTTCTATAGATGCGCACAGAGGAGCAAATTTGGGGAGAAGGAAGAGCAACTGGAGTCTGGTGATGCATCTGTTGAATTTGAGTTGTCGTCATCAAGGGTGGCGCGCACTAACTACGCTAAGAGCAGCGAGCAAGCCAGTGACTGTCCCTGACGGCGGCAAACGGATTGAGAGCAATCCACTTTACAGTCCCTGACGGAGGCAAACGGATTGAGAGCAATCCACTTTACAGTCCCTGGCGGAGGCAAACGGATTGAGAGCAATCCACTTGACAATCTGAAACGGTCGAAGACGGACTGCTTTTATCATGATTGAGATCGACTATAAATTTTTTTTGTCGTTCTTAAGTTCTTAACAGCTGCTGGAAAGTCAGCTTCTCCTGCTCGAGCGAGTTCCACCTATATATATGTATATATATAGTTGACGACAACGCGATTGCGTCTTCCGTACTAGTTATCCTTATCCTCAAACATTAATCAATCTAACGACGTTTTAACAGCTAGATTGATTGTCAATGATTGAGTGATTGACTGATTGATTGAATGATTGATTGAATGATTGGTTGATTGATTGGTTGGTTGGCTAACCGACGTCGGCCGTATGAGAGAGAAGCTCCCACCTCTTCCTGGATAGATCTCCCACCTCTTTCCCACCTCTCTCCCACCTCTCTCCCACCTCTTTCCCGCCTCTCTCTCACCTCTCTCCCACCTCTTTCCCACGTCGCCCACCTCCCTCCGATATCTCTTCCACCTGTCTCACCTGTCCCACCTCTCCCTCTTCCGCCCGCTCGACTTTCGAATTGCTACCCGATTCCGAGTTCGCTTCATGCTTGTCCAAGCCCTGCAAGTTGACGTCAACATCAACAGCAGGCATGAGCCCTGACCTGCAGACTCTGCAGGCAGGAGCGCCAGGCCAGGCCAACGGGCAGACAGGAGTAGCGGCTCGTTTGTAGTGGCCTACAACGGCCGCAAACACCCGCAGCGGGAAGACAAGCAGCAGCAGCAGCAGCAGCAGCAGGGGCAGCAGGGGCAGCAGCAGCTGAGACTGCAGCTGCAGGAGAGGGATAGAGGTAGCAGCAGCATCCCTGTTAGAGAGCATTCAACCGAGGACACTTCTGGATGCATCTGACCGCACTTGCGGCCGGCGTTGGGGACTATCTGGCCGCAATTCCGTCCAGATTCGCAGCGGCAGCGGCAGCGGCAGAGAGTTTTCACACGATGACAAATCTCTCGGTATCTGACTGCAATTACGGCCCGTCTTGCGTGTATCCGGCCGTCATTGCGTCCAGAGTTGCGTCGGACAGGTCGTCTTGTGTGAGTGTCCCCCCTTCTCCTTGCTACTCCCAGCACGATTTTTGTGCTACCGTCTTTCTTCACTTCATAGGTTGAATGCTCTCTAACGGTCGCTATAGTAAAAGTGTTGTATTTACTATTTCGAAGTGACTGTCTAGATGAAGCGATGATAGAGAGAGTGTGTTTTATTCGGGGGAAGACGGTAGGACAAGAAGCGGGCATGAAGTTCGAGTCCCAGCAGCACTTGGCAGCGATTCTATGGTGATCTGCAAGATGCGTTATCCCCACGTCTTCTGCATCATTTCCCTGCCGATCAGGACCGTCCCCATCTGCTTCATCATTTCCCTGCGCAAGTCGGCCTCTTCACGTGGCCAGTGCCACGTGGAATCACCATGTGGATCACGAAGGTCGGTGCCACGTGCTCGTCGCGGAGTCCGATAGAGACGCAGGCGCATCATCACTGCTGAATGATCTGCCAGCTTCCTTCCATTTCCGACTCTCTCTCTCTCTCTCTCTCTCTCTCTCTCTCTCTCTCTCTCTCTCTCTCTCTCTCCCTCCCTCCCTCTCTCTCTCACACACACCCGCGCGCGCGCGCCGCGAGGTTCTTTCTCTCGCACACACCCGCGCGGATAGATAGCCATGCTCTCTCTCTCTCTCTCTCTCTCTCTCTCGCGCGCGCGCGCGCGCGCGCGCGCGCAGACCCCCTCGGATAGATAGCAGCGCGTTTGCGCGCAAAGACCCCCGCGGATAGATAGCAGCGCGCTCGCGCGTGCGTACACATGCACGCCCACCCACCCACCCCCCCACACACACACACACACACACACACACACACACAGACAGAAGCCGAGAGAAAGAAGCAGAGGTTTTGTTTCCTCGATTAGTTAACTGTTGACGTGCGCAGCGAGGTGCCAATTGGATTGGGAAATCCAATCGAAGATTTACGAGCAGGAAGAGATGGAATTTGAATCGAGGTTGTGCTGCAGCGTCGCGAAGATCCAGTACAGGCCTGTGGTACGGAGTGCTGACACGTGTCACACTGCAGCCGCTTCACTCTCGCACGTCACGGAGTGCCAGCATCGCCAAGCTGAACAATTGATTGCTGCATTGTCTTCCCTTCCTTGCCCTACCACGGTGATGACTCAGAATCGTCAGATTTTCAGCCGTCGGGTCTCAGCGGTCCGACTTCAGCCCTCGGATCTCAGCCATCAGATTTCAACTGATCACATTTTCACACTTAATGTTGTCATCGATCGCATTTCAGCCGTCGTCGGATTCAAGCCCAATCGGATGCCAACCATTCGCTTTCCGCTAATTGCCGCATTTCTACCCGTGAGAAAGAAATACTTCACCGATCGGATCTCAGCCGTCGGATTGATTGCAGCGATCGGATATGAACCGATCGTCAGAGTGATTGAATCGTCCGTCGTGCAGCAGTTGAACCGATCCGCCGGAAGAATTTCACCGCAGGGGTTAAAATTAATTTCACCGCGCGGGTTAACACGAACTTCCACCGAAGTTTCGATCAAGTTCAATCGATCAGATCTGAACCCACATCGGCGAGATGAATTTCAGTGATTATTTCACCGCCTCGGGTTAAGATGAATTTCACCGCGCGGGTTAAGATGAATTTAGCGGCGGTTAATACGAACTTCAACGATTTGGTTAAAGTTCAACCGATCAGATCTGAACCCACCCGCAACTTCCGCAAGCCGAATTTAGCCGTGCCGCGGGTGAAATGAATTTCGCCGCCGGTCAAATGTAATTTCGCCGCGGCCGCGGGTAAGATGAGTTTCACCGCGGCCGCGGCCGCGGGTAAGATGAAAATTCACGGCGGGTAACTTGTCAATGAGATGAATTATTCCACCGGTCGGATAAAGTCTTAACCCGATATGTCGATCAGACAGGATAAAGTTTAACCGCTCGGGCTCTCATCAGACAGGAAGTGAGCGGGGGAAGTTTCGTCCTCGGGGGGTTGTTGAACTGCGCCGTGTAGCAGCGAGCAGTGCCGAGCGCTCAGCAGGCCAGCAGCAACGGATGCAATATATATGGAAGGCACTCTACGCTTGCAAACACGCCAACGAAACTTCATCTGAATACTCGAAGAAGGACTAACGAAGTTAACTTACTCTTCTTAAGTAACCACCCCATCGCCACACCGATCATAGCAAACCCCGTCGAAGAAGGACTAACGAAGTTGAATGAACTGCAACTGTTGGGAGGAAATAATTATAATTGGAATTATCGTTTTGAGCGATCGGAGAACTCCTGCTAGCAGATCAGAAATTATCGAAGGAAATTTCAACGATCTTTCAAATTCTCCATCCGTCGGACTAGATTTGATTATCAGAGAGATGAATTTCGTGAAGACACTTTCTCAACGATCTTCCACCCAAGTTGAATTGTATCTATACCGATCGATCGATCGATCGATCGATCGAGCGGTATAGATACAATTCAACTTGCTCGACGATCATCATGATAGATGGGTGTATGCGATCCGGGAGATGATTGGATTGGGCGGGTGGGAGGAGAGGGGGTAGGGGGGTAGGGGGTAGAGGGTGGAGGGAGGGGGGGGGGGGGGGGGGGGGGGGAGGGGGGGGTTCGTACTACGTAGTTTCGTCTCGTCGGGTGGCGGAGAGAGATTGCTGCTGCCACGTTGCGCAGGGCATCGGACGGCGGCGGTGTGTGTTCTTGATTGATTGATCGATTGAGAGATGTGTTCTTGATTGATTGATTGATCGATCGAGAGATGTGTTCTTGATTGATTGATCGATTGAGAGATGGATCCATCGGAAGAGGATTGAGGAGATGAGAAGAGGACTGAGGAGATGAGAGATGGTGGGGATGGATTTCAATACTCGCCGGGTCCCTTTCAAATTTCAGTTACTCCTCTTCCCCTCCCTCCCCCCTCCCCTCCCTCTCCCCCACCCTTTCTTAACAGGTTCCGGCGTTTTCCAGGTTTACAGGCACAGGATGTCAGACAGAGCGCCAAAGGGTGGAATCACCGTGAGTGCAAACAAGTACGGAAGAAAGGGAAGCTGCGCGCCGGCGTATGGAAGGAAGACAAGGTCGAAGCGCCAACGTTACGGAGGAGGGTGCCGTCGTCGTCCGTACGTCCGTACGAAGGAGCGCCGGCGTACGGAAGAGGGTGAAGCTGCGCGCGCCAGCGTAGGGAAGAGAGTTGAGATGTCAATGTCGACGCGCCAACGTACGGAAGACAATGTCGAAGCGCCAACGTACCGCCGTACAGACGTACGGACGACGGCGTGCCAATGTCCGAGCGGCCGGGTACGGCAGACAAGCAGAGGATCTCGGCGGCAAGGGATCGATCGATCGATCGATCGAATTCAGATCACCAAGGTTGGAATCCGATTTTATGTTCAGCGGCGCGCACGATTTGCGGCGGAGAAGCGGATCTTTTTTCTCAGGAAAATCGATTTTTTTTTTTTTTTTCAGGACAATCGGATTTTTCACAGAGAAGCGGATTTGTCACTTGTGCTTGCTCGCGTAGAATCTTTTGATCCCAATTTGTCGCAAGTCCGTATCCGGACTGGTTTTCTGATTGAATTCCCTTCTGTCAGTGATGGGGAAAAAAAGAAAGTCGGATGATTAAGTCGGATGTCGCTGCAGTGCATAACTCAGGTCTGTCTTTCTAACTCCGGTCTGTATTTCAATTGGTTGAATTTATATTATCTGCTGCCGTCCGTGCACTCACGCAGTGAAGCAGCGCAGTTCGAACAGTCAGGGCCAACGTACGGACGTACGGACAATGTACTCAAGGCCAGCGTACGGACGTACGGACAATGTATTGCAACAGGGCATCCTGGGCATGGGTGTTCCAGCTGAGCTAGGCAGTAGGCAGGGTAGTTGGGATTTCAAATCGGATTGCGAATTGGAGTTGGACTGTTCGAGTGAAAACAGTTTGACTGAGTGGAATCGGACAAAAAGAAAAGGAGGAGGGGGGACAGGGAGCGGCGGGGAAATTTTCGAAATTATTGCCCAAGCTAAGGAAATTCAACGAATCCAGTCAATTTCTACATTCACCATATTACCAGGTGTCATTTTATCTATGCATAAGTACATAAAAATATATATATTAACAAATATATTACTATTAATATATATATATACATATCACAGCCCCTCGTTTGTTGTTCTCTTCTCTCTCTCTGCCTACGGTTTACCGGGCAGTTCTGTTTGTGACGATATATATATATATATATCGTCACAAACAGAACTGCCCGGTAATATATATACTTCTCTCTGCCTACGGTTTACCGGGCAGTTCTGTTTTATATCGTCACAAACAGAACTGCCCGGTAAACCGTACGCAGAGAGAGAGAAGAGGACAACAAACGAGGGGCTGTGACAAACTGTTTCGTCGGAGTTTCTATATATATTTGAAAAAAGAGAAAAGATTAAAAAACTTGTGTTGGTTGAATGACCGAACATCCCATTGATAATATTTTTTATCCTAAATGATAAATAGGATGGAACAGGCAAGGGAAAAAAAAAGGGAAAAAAAGTGAAGGGGCAAGAAAAAACAAAAAGAAACGACAAACAAACGGAGGATGGGAGGTATACCAAGAGTGAAAGAGCGAGGACGACATACGAGGAGAGAAGAGAAGATTCAAAAAAAAAAAAAGAAAGGAGGAATATGCTTGCAGGGGTCCCCTCTATAGGCTTGCTTAGGAGAAGCGGCAGGTGCCTAGTGAAGGTGAAAATTGAGAGAAGAATATAGCTTTTCGTTTTTTCTTTTTCTCTTTCTCTCATTTTTCTCATTTTTTCATTTTTTCATTTTTTCATTTTTTTTTTGTTTTTTTCGGCACAAACCGAAAACACAAGCATTTAACGAAAAAAAAAAAAAAAAAAAAAAAAAAAAAAAATGGAGCACATGAAGAACTGTACATGAAATACAACGGTGATGCTGGGGTTTCTGGCAGCACAGAGAGCAGGTGGGAAGGGGTGGGGGAAGAGAGAG